AACCCATTTGTGTCCTGTTCCCCTTCTTTTTCATCCTCTTTGAGACAAGGGCATTTTCTCAAGGTTCCATTCTTGGTCCCTTTCTCTGAGATCAGGTGGAGGCTGTACAAACCCTCCCTTGGTATTTTAGCTGCTGACAAAAGGGCTGGAGAAGCTTCATAGTCTATGTGTCCTTTTGACCTTGAACTTCAATGAAAAACTCATTTTCCCTTTAACGGTGGTTATAAAAATCAGAGATGTCTTCTCTTAGGGAAGGGAAAAAGGAATTGGCCCAGGACATGTCGAAGAATGTGGGAAGCCTCTCAAAGTCAGCTACCTGAAGCAATGATTGAGAATTTTTGGTCTTTATAAGCATTTTTTTTTTTTTAACTTGGAGAGCAAAAGCAGCCATTTTGTTTGCTTCTCTTTCTCATTGTTCTAAGCCTGAGAAATTCTGGTCCACCCAAGCCCTGACTCCCAACTTTCATACACTGAGTTCTCTCTACTTAGTGGGAGATAGCAGCACCACTGTGCACCATAGCTCATGCCAAGAGAGACAAATGCCAGCCTGACCACACGACAGCTTTCCTCGACTTGGCGTTTCAGAGTAGACACCTGTGTGAGTTCCCTGTGTGTGCTGTAATAAATTATCACAACTGTAGTAGTATCTTATAGTCCCAAAGTATCTTATAGTCCTCGAGGGCAGAAGTCCTATAACTGAGGCGTCGGCAGGGCTGCGTTCCTTCTGGAGGCTCTAAGGGACAACCTAAGTCCGTGCCTTTTCCATTCTGTAGAGGGAGCCCACACGCCTTGGCTCATAGCCCTCTCCTCCATGTGCAAAGCCAGAAGCAATTTCCGATCCCCTTCTGACTCTGCTTTCATCATCATACCTCCTTCTCTGATCCCGACCCTCCTGCTTCCACTCGCCTAAGGACTCTTGTGGTAACATTATCCCACCTGAGTAATGCAGGAAAATCTCCCCATCTCCACAGCCTTAATTTAACCACACCTGCAAAGTCTCTTGCCAGGTAAGGTCACATATTACCAGTGTGTGGGGGGGCATTATTTTGCCTACCATGGCACCCATGGGGGCCACATTCCTAAGATGTGGGCCCACAGAATACCTCTTTGGGGAAGTAATGCGTGGACTTGGTTTTGGAAGACGGCAGGTGGGGCTGGAGGTCAGGGGACAGAAAATTTCAGGCAGAGGAAATGGCACATAGAACAGCAGGCTCCCTGAACACCTTGGCCTGGATGTGCCCCAAAGGCCCTTAACACCGGCTCAAGGACCCAGGCAAGGGAGCGCTCTTTCCAGGCTCGGTTCTGCAAAGCGGGGGTCCTCCCCTGGGCCACTTTCGCCCACAGGGACACCTGGTAATGTATGAAGAGATATTTGGCTGTCACAGTTGGTAAGCAGTGGCTAGAGATCTCCTAAATATCCTACGATGTACAATTCTGTCCTCACCACGAAGAACTGAGTGAGAAGCTCCACTTACAGCCACTTGCTGGCCATCTCCCCAGACCCAGAGGGGCTTCTTCCTTCCTCCGTGGAGGGTTTCTGCTCAGGGACCTTTGACCTTTCTGCCCCTACCCCATCTTTCTTGGGAAAAGCTGTTTCTAGTGACTCTTGGCCTGCTCAGGGAATGGAAGCAGTTGTGTGGGTTGAATGCTCCTACTTATGGAATGGGAAGGCTGGGCCTGGCCTGGGGAGGGGAGGAAGATGGATTTAAGAGTTTCTTCACCCTCAACCCCTACCCCTCACCCCCGGGCCCAACCTGATCTAGCCTCTGGGCCCCTGTACTGGGAAGGTGAATGAGGCAGACAGTATGCTGACACCCACTGAGCCTGTGCCGGTCATTGGGTAGGGAATAAGCAACTTCATTCATGGGGCAGCAGGTGACAGGAGGCGGGGGTGAGCTGGGGCTGGGGCATCCCCTTCTAGCTCCTTGTTGCTGCCACCCCACAATGCTGTCAGCGGCACCCCTGGAGTTAGACACACCCTCCTTGGGCTAGGGTGGGAGTGGGATGCTTATCTCACCCACCACGTAAGGGACCCAAGCTTGGGTGGCCTGACCCAGTGTGTATGTGCGGGGGGAGGATGGAGTGGGCTCTGCTGGGATGTGATAAACATAAGTTGGAGTCTTACTGTCCCTGGCCCTTGCAAGAAGATTCCGCTGCTTATTCACTTGGTCAGCAAACTTTTGATGCCTACAGGCTCTAGGTTTGGTGCTGGGGATATAAATGTGGACAGGACCCGGCTGTCCCCTCAAGGAGCTCACAGCAACTGGGAAAGCAGGGCTCTCTCAGGTTGACTACTCGACCAAGAGCCAGCCCCTCTGCCAGGTGCCTCACCTCTCAGTGGGAGCAGAGCAGCTGCATTTTGTGGGGGGAAGGGAGGCAGCAGAGATCTGAGCAGAGAAAGCCCCTGTGAAACAGCTCACAGAGGAAGGTGAGCACATATCCAGTGGGGCTTCCGTGGGAGTGAGCCCAGGAAGACTCCTGCTCCAGGGGGCTGGTCTGGGGAGAAAGCCCACCCCTCCCACCACCGGCTCCTGGATTTCTCCCCCACTGCCCTTATGCTGGCTGTAGCTGCTCTGGTCAGCCTCTGTGCATTTCCACCTAGACCCCCACTGAGCCCAAACCCCTGACATATGGCGCCATCCTCTTGCTGAGGCCAAAGGTCAGTTCCCACCAGCCAGAGAATGGGGTGTCCAAACCTTAGAATTCTGACTCCTCCACTGGGAGACCAGGCAATGCCCATGGGTGACAAGATCCACTTGAGCTCCCCTGCCCACCTTTGCTGACACCCAGTGGGCTATAATAGACTCACATGTTGCCCCAGCATTATGGGCTGAACTGTGTTCCCCAAAAACTTTTATGTTGAAGCCCTAACCCCTAGGACCTCAGAATGTGACTGTATTTAGAGATCATGCCTTTAATAGGTGATCAAGTTAAAATGAGGTCATTAGGGTGGGCCTTGATCCAACATGGCTGGTGTCCTTATAAAAAGGGGAAATTAGGACAGACACGCACAGAGCAAAGACAATGTGAGGACACGGGGAGAAGAGGGCCATCTGCAAGCCATGGAGAGAGGCCTCAGAAGGAGCCAGCCTTGCTGACGCCTTGATCTTGGACTTCTCACCTCCAGAACAGTGAGAAACTAAATTTCTTTTGTTCCTAAGCCACCCAGTCTGTGCTTTGTTATGGCAACCCTAGGGAACTCATATACCCAGAACACACCTGAGTAACACAGCAGCTCCTCTTAGGATGTGGGAGGGAACAGGATGAAGATGGACCATTTTTCCACAGCCTCGGTTTCTTCCCCTCTCCCATACAGACCTGAATCCACTGCTTTCACTGCACAATTGAGGATGCCCCCTTCACTCCGATCTTAAGATGCTGGGCCCTGGTTGGACTGGAGAGTGGAAATATCCCACAAATTACACGCCCCCCCCAACAGGCTATGCATTCCTTCTTCTGAGCGGTCCATGTAAACCTTCTCCTCTGGCCCCTCCTCTCTCCCCAGCCGCATTGCCTCTCATCTGCATCCTGTTTAGTCCTTCCTTGCTGCCCATCAGCCCTGGGGCTGGGCCTCCCTCAGTGCTGGTCCATCTCCTTCCCTTTTCTCCACGCCCCCACCCGTACCCTTCCCGTCACAGGTGGAGGACCCTGCAGAGGATAGGTGCAACTTTGTGCCCTGCCCTTCTAAGTCACGAGCAATTTGGCATCAGGGTTCCACGCATGAATTCTGAGCTCCGTTGGTCCCAGACTCTGACCCCTTTCTGCCCCTCTTCTAGGAGTGTGTGACCTCAGGGTCACTTGACCTTTCCATAAAGTGGGACTAACAGGACTCAACACATAGGCTCACCATGAGCATTAAACTGTGCCTATAGAGATCAGCCCAGGGAGCTACTTATTCCATATGGGTTGCAGGCCTCCATCATTTCTAGTGGATGAGCAAGCGAGCCTCATTGCTCGGCATTTAAACTGTCAATCTGAAGATATTTCGTTAAAGACAGGAATGTCTTCCTGCGGACAGCTCTTCCATGGGTGCCACAGGATAATTTTTGGCGGTATGACCACAGCGTCAGATTATTAGCCCTTTTATATCTTGGTATCTTCCACAGGGTCTTTCAGATGAACATGGCCATCACCCCCCAGGAAAGGTAGTGTTGGGGTCATGGGAGCGCTGCAATGATCTTCACCTTGAGCAGCCCCCACCCACAACTTGGTGGAGACAATGACATTTGTTGACTCTCCCTGCTGTGAAGTGTCCGTTTCTGATCTTTGCTCCATTTGTTGTTATCAATTTTGTGAGCATTAACAGACTGATAACACCTGGCTCGTTCACCTTGCACAACTGCTCTTCACTGCACGTGATCAGAGCTGAGGAATGCCACTGGATGTGCTTAGGGAGCTGGGAGGCTTGTGGGTTTTGTGATACATGGAATGTGGGAATTGCCAGGGTCAGGCAGCAGCTGGGAACGGGAACACTCATCCTTGATGCTCCTGCCCCAGCAAATCAAGGGAAGGCGGGAGGCACTGCGCAGGCAGACAGTGGCAAATCCATGGGCACCTGGCCTGCTTCCCATGGGATGCTAGACATGGAGCAAGGCTAGAGAACTGTCACAGCAAATTGATCACCTGCCAATGACTGATAAGCATGAAGCCTCCATCTCATTTATAAGGATCAGGGAAAACAGTCTGGCAGTTCCTCTTAAACACAGTGTTACCACATGACCCAGCAATTCCACTCCTGGGTATACACCCAAGAGAAATGAAAACAAATGTTCATATAAAAACCTGTTCATGAATGTTCACAGCAGCATTAGTCAAAATAGCCAAAAGATGGAAACATCCCAATATCCATTGATGGATGAATGGATAAACAAAGTATGGCATAGCCACACAGTGGAATATTACTCAGCCATAAAAAGGAACGAAATACTAATTCACCTTACAGCACAATAAACTTTGAAGACATTATGCTCAGTAAAAGAAGCCAGACACAAAGGGCCACATATTGTATGATTCTATTTATATAAAGTGATCAGAAGCACAAATCCATGGAGTCAAAAAATAGATTAGTGGTTGCCAAGAGCTAGTGGGTGACTTCTAAAGGCCATGGGGTTTCTTTTTTGGGTGGTAAAAATGTTCTGGAATGAGATAGTGGTGATATTTACATAACTTTGTGAGTATACTAGAAACCACTGAATTTCACTTAACACTTTTTTAAAGAAGCATTGCAAAAAGCCCAGCAAATACATGTAAAACACTTAGAGACAAATCAAGAAAGAGAACTGATATGGCATGAAAAAAAAATAGCCGGATTAAAAAACAACAAATCTTAAAAATGAAAAAAAAATATGATAGTGACCACTATGAGTCACTGGTAGCAATAAGGAGCGTGACCATGTGACAACACCTAGATATGAAATACTGCTCTGGGAAGACAGGGGAAATCAGGCCACTCTGTGACCTTGAGAATTGGAGCAGTGGGGACCTTTCTAACCTTTGACACTCTGGGAGATAAAATTCCCACTGCTGTTCTTGCCAGAAAGATACTGGAGTCGAAGGGTAATGGGTCAGACCCAGAAAGACAATTCTGGAAAACCTGACAAGCTCACTCAGGTCAGCACCCCACATTATCTCATGGGGTGGCACTCAAGGAGCCGATTTCTAAGACAATAAGCAGAGCCTCATGCTCTCTGGGGCATTAACCACAGACCCTTCTTTAGGGACTCACCGATACGTTAGATGTCCCAGCACGTTAGATGCTCTGCTCAGTGCCTGCTTTCCTCAGTTCCCGAGGTGGCAGTGCCACCTGCCTTTTGCAAACAAGCAAACCAAGGCTCAGGGAAGTTAGGTTACTAGCACAGCAGCTCCGGAAGGAGAGCCCTGCATTTCCGTGCCCCTCCAGGGCCAGGCTCTCCAGGTCAGACACAGGAACCATGGGTGACCCGTGCCCCAAAAGAGCCAGTGCTGTCGCCCTTCCAATTCTGAACTATTCAGGACGTGAACTCCAAACTGTTGCTAACCTGAAATAAACTCAGCAGCCTAAGAAAAAATAAATAGAGCTTCCTGGTTTCCTACATGACTGACCTACTTGGCACCTGAAGCAGAATCAGACCGAAGTTGGGCCCCCAAAGAGCTTGAGTGCCAGAAGGTTCTCTGGGCTTGCTCGGGCCTGCCCGGCTTCTGTTCTCAAAATAGGCATTCCACTTTGACGCCTCAGCTCTGTTAGGGAGCTGACCAGTGAACAACTAACCTGACATTTAAACCCATTTCTTATGTTCCCAAAATAACCCCCGCCCACATATGGAGCCCTGTAAATGGTTCAGATGTCATGGCTTTCCACTGCATCACGGTGAAGGTCAGAACTCTGAAATTGGTTTTATCAGGCTAAAAACAAGGTGTCGGTAGGGTTACAGTCCTTCCGGAAGCTCTAGGAGAGAATGTTTCCATGCCTTTTCCAGCTTCTGGGTGCCGCCCGCAATCTGTGGCTCATGGCTTTCTTCCACGATCGAAGCTGGTAACGGCATCACTGACCTCTGCTGCCACTGTCATATTTCCTTCTCTGACTCTGACCCTCCTGCCTTCCTCTTACAAGAACCCTTGTGATTACACTGGCCTCATGCAGATAATCCAGGATAATCTCCCCACCTCCAGATACTTAACCTAATCCGATCTGCAAAGCCCCTTTTGCCAGGAAAGGTAACATAGTCACAGGTTTCAGGAGATTAGGACACGGACATCTTTGGGAGGCTGTTATTCTGCCCACCATGGCAGGACCAGCATACACTTTTTGAAAAGGGCTCGATCGCAAATATTGTAGGCTTTGTGGGCCATATATTCTCTGTTGCCAAGATTGGCTATGTAATTTTCAGAGCCCAGTGCAAGATAAAAATGCACGGCCTCTCATTTATGCATAGATTACTAAATATTTCGCAATGGCAATAGTAGAAGCATAGGGCCCTGGGTGATGACAGTCTCCACAGCCATGAAGCAGGCTCTGCCTGAGCAAATCTCCCTCTGATAGTGCCACTCAAAAGCAGCCATGGCAACACACACTCAACAGGCATGGCTGTGTTACGATCAAACTTGACGCACACTGAAATTGTGCTTCGTGTCATTTTCTCACGTTACAAAATGTTATTCTTCTTTTGGCTTTTTTCAACCATTTAAAAAATGTAAAAATCATTTATAGCTCACAGGCTGGGCAAAAACATGGCTGCAGATTGCCGGCTTCCGGCCTATGGGATAAACGCCAGCTCCTCTGCCTGACCCTGTCGGGCCCTTTAGAGCTGGAGACAGATACCTCTCCAGACCCATCTCACTGTCTTCTTCCCTCACGACCTACACCCGGCACTTCCCACTCCTGCTGTACTCTGCTCAGACACTACCCTTCAGGACAGGTGGTGCTTTATACCCACCCCTTATCACCCTGGCTGTATTTATATGTCTCTGTGTCCTCTTCTCCTTTGGGGCAGTGATGTCCTCAAGAGCAGGGACAAAGACTAAGTCACCTTTGAGTCCTCTGATCTCACAGACCCTCAGAGCTCGAACGACATAGAACTTCGGCGGCTGGAGTGTACTGATTCCAACCCCTAAGAACTAAAACTGCGTTTCTCTCCAAAAAAACAAAAAAACAAAAAAAACCCCCAAAATTAAAAAACGAGAACGTCCCATCTCAAATTCAAACCAGAGAAATAAAGCTCTCTTGAGACAAAGCAGACCTGGGTTCAAATCCCGCCTCTGTCCTTAAACTAGTCATGTGCACTTGGACAAGTCACCTCCCTTGCTGTTAGGAACAGGTCTCATCTTACCACGGCTAGCCAAGCCCTATGTGACCTGCTCCTCCCAAGCCCAAGAGTCTCCTTTTCTACCCATGTCTTTGCCACTAGCCTTTTCTCAGTTCCTAAGTGTGCAAGTTCCTGCCCGCCTCAGTGCCTTTGTTCTTGCTGCCTTAAACGGTCTGTTCCCCTTTGCCTGGTGACTCGCCCATCCTGCCTCAGCTACAACACCACCAACTCGACAAGCCTTCCCTAGTGACCCCAAAATGAGGTCAGGTCCTCCTGTTATATGTTTTGCTGGCACTCTGAACCTCTGCAGATTATAATGATTTGTGTAATTTCTTATTACTATTAGTAAGACTTAGTAGGCACTTGATGCCAGGCTCTGTTTCAGTGATTCTAAAAATAGATGATTTCATTTAATTCTCACTGTACCCTCATAAAGTATTACAATCACTCCCATTTCATGAAAGGGGAGGCTGAAGCTCAGAGAGATTAAATAACTTGCCCAAGATCATACTTGCCTAAGTTAGTCGGTGTCAGAGCTGCGCTCTTAAACTTGTTTCTGGAAACTGACTGTGACTTCCATGAGAGCAGATGCCACATCTGGCATGGTCATTGTTGTATCCCCAGGGTTGAGTGCCTGTACCTGGTACATTGTGGATAATTAAAAAAGACTGATGATCTGTAAGAAACAACACCCCAGAAATAATGAGCACTCCTAGTGCCCAGATCTTGGTTTCTAACACAATTCTTTAATAAAAGGAACCAGGCTTGGGGAAATGGCTGATTCTAGGACTGGAGCAGGAAATATACAAGATGAGCCTGGTGCATCTTGAAGTACCAGAGTAAGGAAGTGCTCCAAAGAAAACAAAATGAAAAAAGTCAAATGCACTGATGGGAGTGTGTCAAAGGGCTACAGGAGCCACTGGAAGAGATCCCAATGGCTAAAGTCAGAATAATTTGAGCAACAAAATAAGTAAAGTAGTATTAGGTTAAAACTCAGAGTATAAAATACTCAGGAGGCCATACTGATATAATGACTGAATAAACTACTAAATGGCGGAGAAGAGAAAAATCTACCATGTGGAAGAATTCTAAATTAATTTATGTAGATATCCACCTTAAGGAGAGGGAACGTAACTCTCTGCTCGTTAAGTGTGGGCTGCACAGTGACTTCCTGCCAAAGTATACAATAAGAAGTATGTGGCGGGGGGGGGGGGGGCGGGCATTTACAGTGGGGAAAGATGACAAATACTACCTCAGCCAGGTGATCAAGACCAACATCAACAGGTAGAGACAATGTTGATGGTCTGTATCCTTTGATATGATGTGATTAGAAGAGCACTTGACCTCTTCGGTCTTCCTCCCCCAAACTCATCATTCCAGTCTTAATATGAAGAAAACATCAGATGAATCCCAACAGAAGGGCACCCTATAACACATTTAACGAGTTCTCAAAACCGCCAAGGTCATCAAAAACAAAGAAAGTCTGAGAATGTGCCATAGCCAAGAGGAGCCTAAAAGGACAGGATAAACAAGAGAACAGACCTTGGAAGCACATACCATGTTCATGGTAGGAAGAATCAACATCGTTAAAATGGCCACACTACCCAAAGCAATCTATAGATTCAATGCAATCCCTATCGAAATACCAATGGCATTTTTCAGAGAGCTAGAACAAATAATCCTAAAATTTATATGGAGCTATAAAAATCCTGACTTGCCTCGGCAATCCTGAGAAAGAAGAACAAAGTTGGAGGTATCACACTACCTGATATCAAACTATACTACAAGGATAGAGTAATAAAAACAGCATGGTACTGGCATCAAAACAGATACACTGATCAATGGAACAGAATAGAGAGCCCAGAAATAAATCCACACCTATATGCTCACTTAATATATGACAAAGCAGGTAAAAATATACTATGGGGTAGAGACAGTCTCTTCAATAAATGGTGTCAGGAAAATTGGACAGATATATCAAAAGAAAGAGGAAAGAAAGAAAAGAAAGAAAAGAAAGAAAAGAAAGAAAAGAAAGAAAAGAAAGAAAAGAAAGAAAAGAAAGAAAAGAAAGAAAAGAAAGAAAAGAAAGAAAAGAAAGAAAAGAAAGAAAAGAAAGAAAAGAAAGAAAAGAAAGAAAAGAAAGAAAAGAAAGAAAAGAAAGAAAAGAAAGAAAAGAAAGAAAAGAAAGAAAAGAAAGAAAAGAAAGAAAAGAAAGAAAAGAAAGAAAAGAAAGAAAAGAAAGAAAAGAAAGAAAAGAAAGAAAAGAAAGAAAAGAAAGAAAAGAAAGAAAAGAAAGAAAAGAAAGAAAAGAAAGAAAAGAAAGAAAAGAAAGAAAAGAAAGAAAAGAAAGAAAAGAAAGAAAAGAAAGAAAAGAAAGAAAAGAAAGAAAAGAAAGAAAAGAAAGAAAAGAAAGAAAAGAAAGAAAAGAAAGAAAAGAAAGAAAAGAAAGAAAAGAAAGAAAAGAAAGAAAAGAAAGAAAAGAAAGAAAAGAAATGAAAAGAAAGAAAAGAAAGCGATGTCGCCTCACATCTGTCAGAATGGCTATCATCAATAAGTCAAAAAACGACAAGTGTTGGTGAGGATGCGGAGAAAAGGGAACCCTCATACATTGTTGGTGGGACTGCAAATTGGTACAGCTGCTATGGAAAACAGTATGGACGTTTCTCAAAAAATTAAAAATGGATATATCTTTTGACCCAGCAATTGCACTTCTGGGTATTTATCCAAAGAAAACCAAAAAAATAATTCGTAAAGATCTATGCACTCCAATATTCATGGCAGCACAATTTACAGTAGCCAAGATATAAAAGCAACCTAAATGCTCATCAACAGACGATTGGATAAAGAAATTATGGTTCATATATACAATAAAATATTCCTCAGCCATTTAAAAAAATGAAATCCTACCGTCTGTAATGACATGGATGAACCTAGAGGTTATTATGCTGAGTGAAATGAGTCTGACAGAGAAAGATAAATACCATATGATTTCACTTATATGTGGAATCTAAGGAACAAAAAGAACAGACTAATCAAAAACAGACTCAGAAATATAGTGGACAATTTGGTGATGGACAGAGGGGAGCGGGGTTGGAGGGCTGGGAGAATGGGGTGAAGGGTTAAAGAAGTACAAATTAGTAGTTGATAGCTGGTCACGGGGATGGGGAGCAGGGCATAGGGAATGCAGTTAGGATTAATATGATGGCTAGGTGGAGGGTCAGGGGAGGGAGGGAGCAATTGGGGGGATCGTTTTATGAACTATACAGATGTCTAACCAATGTACTGTATACATGAAACTAATTTAAGTAAGCAAATAGATAAATTAAAAAAGAATAGACCTTTCAAGTTCTCATCACAAGAACAAAAAATTTGTAATTAGGTGTGGTAATGGATGTTAACTAAACTTATTGTGCTGGTTATTTTGCAATATATACATATATAAAATCATTATGTTGTACATCTAAAACTAATACGATGTTACATGTCAATTACATTTCAAGAGAGAGAGAGAGAGAGAGAGAGAGAGAGAGAGAAAGGGAGGGAGGGAAGGAGGGAGGAAGATGGAGAGAGATGGAGAGAGAGAGAAAGAGAGAGAGAACAACTAAATGTAATGTGGTATCCTGGATGGGATTCTGGAAGATGAAAAGGACATTAGTTAAAAACAAAGGAAGTTAAATAAACTATGAACTTTGGTTGATAATAATATACCAATATTAGTTATATTGATGGGTTATAACTCTATGGCTAATATAAGTTATAACTAATGAGTTATAACAAATGTATCATACTAATAAAAGATGTAACTAATAGGGAAAACTGGGTGTGGAGAAAATGGTAACTCTGTACCTTCTTTGCAATATTTCTGTAAATCTAAAACTGTTCTAAAAATAGTTTATTAATGATAATTATAACAATAAAGTATAGATGAATGAAGGACTTCATTATTCATGGTGACAATGATTACTGCTCTCTTCTCACAGAGATGTTTCAAGAATTACACAGGAGAACATGCATAAACCATTTAGCACGTGGTACATGCCCAATTCAGAGCACTTGCCACCATTCTCCTAAATTTATGTCATCTGCTATGTAAGCCACTGGCCTTATGTGACTATTTAAATTTCAATTAAGTAAAAATTGAGTATATGAAAAATTCAGTTCTTCAGTGGCAACAGCCACATGTCAAGTGCCAAAAAGCCACATGGAGCTAGTGGCTACTAAATTAGTGCTAATAAAACACATCTATCACATAATGTTTTACCAGGATGAATGCTGCACTAATTACTACAATGAAGAGTGTAGTAATTATTTGTTCAGTGTTGACTCCTTCCGGTCTTTCTGCAAATACCATCTTTTCAACCTTCCTGAACACTGTCTTTCAAATTGCAGCTCCCACATTCCCCATGCCCTTTCCCCAATTTACTTTTTCTTCTTACCACTTTCCACCTCTTTATGTGGAATCCACTTGATTTCTTTTCCATCTCCCCCTCTAGCACTGCACCGTCTAACACAGTAGCCACTGGCAATGTGTGGCTGTTGAGCCCTTGAAATGTAGCCAGTCCAACTTCGGATATGCTGTGAGTGTAAAAGACATATCAGATTTCAAAAATGTGTAAACAAACAAAAAAATGTAAAAGATCTCCTAACTTTTTATATCGATTACACGTTAAAGTAACATTTTGGACATAAATTGGGTTAAATGAAACACATTATTAAAATTAACACCACCTACTTTTTTTTTTCTTTAACATGGCTACTAGAAAGTTTAACTTATGCATGTGGCCAACATTTGTGGCTACTGGAGAGCGCTGAACTAAAATGTCAGCTATTATACAACTTAAAAATATGCTTGTGGCTCGCTTATATTTCTACTGGGCAGCGCTGGTCTAGAATGTGAACCCTATAAGGGCAGGTATTTTTGTCAGTTCACTGCCCGTGCAGTGACTGGCACACAGTAGATGGAAGCTCAATAACATTTTCATGAATGAATGTTAGACTGAGCCTCTGGGAATTCGCTAGTTTTAATAGTCAGCACTGTTGGAACACCGACCTCATCCCATGCCCCACCTCCTTACCACACCAGGTAAGGGAAACTGAGGCCCAGCGAGATGACGTCAGCCTCTGCCAAACGGCACGTAATGCGGAAACGTCGGGACCGGGATTCGAACCCCGGTCCTGTCCCCATGGCCCTGGCGCGGTGACCGTTCCTACCTTGCAGGGCGGTGACCGCGGCGGCGGCAGGATAGATAGGCGCAGGCACACTACATGCGCTCGACAGGGTGCATGGCTCTTCAACCACCGCCTTCAGTCGACCTCCGTCCGTGAGCCAGGCCCCAGGTGGACTCCTCCGTGGCCACCGCCGGCCACCCGCGTCTCCGCCGGCCATCCAACCCTTCGTAGGCGGTGCCGGACGGAAGTCCCGCCTCCACCGCGCGCCTTGGGGCGCCGCGAC